TACGAATTTCCCCGCTCGCTCAGAGCGTCACGGGTACTTAAATTTCTTCGCCCGCTAAAAAAAACGGTCACGAGTAGTTATTTCATGCATAGAAATGTAAAATACTAGTGTCGGGTTTTTTACCTTGGATGTGCAGTAATCGAGGCGGCGACGACAGATGGGGCGACGATGAGAAACCTGCGATACACAATTTAAATTTTTTTTTTAAATATTTTGTGCAATTTAATTAATCATATCTTTTTTTTATTTAAAACAAAAGCTAGAGAGAGAAAAAGGGGAAGAGAGCTCTCTTTTTAGAGAGAGAAAGAGAGGAAAAGAGAGGGAAAGAGAGGACTTTTTGGTGGAAGATGCTTAGGGTGTGTAGGAGATTAGGGGGGTGAGATTAGAGAGAATCTCTCTTTCTCTAATTTTTGGAGATAGAAAGAGAGAAGGGAAATTTTTCTCTCTATGGAAGGAATTTGGAGGTGTGATGGAGAGGAGAAATGCTTGGGGTGGAGATAAAGCCATTCATGAAGAAATTTTACTCTCATTCTAGAGAGAGAAAATTTTCTCTCTCTAGGTTAAAGAGAGAAAATGAGGGATGGTGAAAATTTTTTTATTGGATGGGTGTAGGATATGTGTAGGAACATTTTTTATGAAGAGATGTGGGTGGTTTGGTGAGTGGATGTGGAGATAAAAAAGAAAATAAAATTAGGGTTTTGTAGGTTTAGAGAAATAGAGGTTGGAGGAAGAAGAAGAAGATGAAGGAGAGGAAGGAGAAGAGAGGGGAAGAGAAAAATGGAAGAAAATGAAAGGAAACATGGAGGGAAGATGAAGTGGAAAGAAAAATGGAGAAGGGGAAGAAGAAGGAAGGAAGAAAAAGAAGAGAGAGAATGGAGAATGGAGGAAGAAGAAGAAGAAGAGAAAGAAAGAGGAGTTACCTTGGCTCTTGGAGGGAGGATGGTGGCCGACCGGTTGGAGAATCGCAAGAGAGGAGATGAGGGGGCGGCTCTAGGCATGAAAGTGTCGTGAGAGTGGCGTGAGAGTGTGAGGGAGTGAGGAGTTATGAGGTTAAGTGGGTATTTAGGGCATTTTTGTTTTTTTTTTATTAAAAGAAATTCCTTTTTTATTTAAAAAGGTTCTCTTTCTCTCTTTTCTAATTTTTTTAATTAAATTGCACTATAAAAATAATAATTTTCTTTATCTCGCATTGAGTTTTTTCGCCGCGTCGCCGCTTTCACAAGTCGTCGTCTTAACTCGCGTGCTCAAAATTTAATTTTTCGCCGACTGGCGACCCCCGTCAATTTTGGGTTTTCGGTCGACGCACGTCGGGTGAGTTTTTGCGCGATTTCGAGCTCTTTTGCTTTCGAAATTCACTTTGCGCGGTCGACTCGATCCCGACACTGGTATTGGGGTCAACATCGGCAACTGGGGGTCCGAACTGAAAAAAAAAACTTTAGGTTAATTTTTTTAGAGGCAGCGCCTTAAATATATGAGGCAAGGCGCGTCCGCCTCAGTAAACTTGAGGCGTAAGCCTCATAAACTGAACTTATTGCATGGGTTTTGAAGCTTAAATGGACCAAATTGCGCTGAGGCGCGCCTTTTATTGTGCAATTTTAAACGTTGAGTGCACGGGTACATTGCATCTCTAGTCAGTGTTATAAGGGAGTGTGCTCCATCAGTCAACATGCACATGCAAATATATCTATCTTAATTATTTCATTCTTATATCATTCATTTACTTTCAATGAAAAATTTGAATTCACTAAATACCACTTATCGTCCATACCAATATGAGCAATCATTGAATATGAGAAAATAAAAATATGTTTTAACTTACAACAATAGCTAAACAAATATGAATAATATCCTTCCATGCATTTAAATTAAGAGAAAGCAAAATAATTACTGTAAATAAAAGACATGATACTTACCTCGAAATGGGATGTCTTAACAATTTACTTTAATCATCCCTCTATCACCATTAGCTTAAATCCTATATAAATACATTCTCATTGTTATACTTGGAATATTATCTAAATCTATTATTAATTTTTACTCTCATAAATTTATGAATCTAACAATTATAATATTAAGTATTATTTTTATGATTTTTATTTTTATACCAAATAAATTTCTTTTTTTCTCTCTCTAATTGCTTATTAAATATACCTAAATACTTCTCATTTTTAATTTAAAATTTGTTCTCCTCACTTTACCATTTAAATATGAATAAAATTATAACTTAATTATTATTAATTTGTACTTTCTTTTTTTTAGAACTTTTTATATTTAATAGCTTCTTGCTTTAATTAAATAATTATATATACTCTCATTCTCTATACAAGTTATTTTTTAACTTATCAAGTATTTATTCTTATAAATCTAATTTATGATTTAATATAATATAAGCTTAATTTATTCCCTATCTAATTTAAAATCTTATATACGAATTTAATTATGCTCTTCGTATAATCATACTCAAAACTAATATTTAGTTTTAATATTTTCTAAATTATAGAAATTAGATTAAACTTTCTTATTAGTATTTACTATTTACAAAATAAATCACTACTTATAAATTTTAATCTTACCTTTCCAAAATGTATGTGCTCGCCGCTCGTTTGATCCTTTTTCCTTGCTTCTGCTCTCACTCTTTTGGTCTCCCTCGTCTCTCCCTCTCAATCCTAATTTATAGGATAGTATAATCCCTTTGACTGAATCGACTCGTTTGCTTCGTTTTTTGCGACCCAAGTGAAAGAAGCATCGCAGTCGATTCAGACTTCTCGCACGACCTTAAGTGTCGAAACGACATGACCCTTCAACATTTTCATCCTCACGTGCTCCAAGTAATGAAAGCTTATTCTTCCGCTTCGTCTTCTTCGAATTCTTCATGATACATGATGATGCAATCAAAAATATGGGAAAACTAAGATTGCAAACAAACTAGCGTATTCCTTTCAAAATTGACAAAACATTAAAAATTAACACAATAGATAGGACACAAAACCTAATAATAACAAATAAAAGGACAAACAACACGTTTTAAACTTTTATATATTTTAGAACGGACAATAATTACCACTCACGATAAACATAATTTTAGAACATAAAAACACCGCTTTTCTTTGATTCAGAAGAAAGATACATATGAGGTGGAACTTGCGGATAGAAAAAAAGAGATTAGAAACCTGAGAAGAAATCAAGAGAGGAGAAGAGAACGGGGAACATAGCTCGCAAGCAATCAAAGAAAAAACCCTCAGGTTTTCTTTCCAAAAAATTATCACATTTTTCATCCTTAAAACAACTGCAAACAACCCAAATATATAGGAGAAGAAAGGGAGCCAAACAACCACTTAGCCGCCCCAATGACCCAATCAAAAAAGAGAAGAAAAAAGTCAGCAGTTACTCACGTCGGGAGCCCAATAGCCAAAAGAAACCAGCCATAAATATATGCATGAACCGAACAAACAGCCAGGGAGCTGAACAGGCAATCCACGGGAAAAATAAGGGAGCCGAACATGCAATCCACGGGCAAAGCAAGGGAACCGAACAGACAAGCAGCCAGCTCCCCATCCCACTTCTTTCCAAACACCAAACAGCAATACACCTCAATGGGCCAAGGCCCTTAAGCCAATTTCAGCCCACCTTTAATTGCCCAAATATGGGTATTGCTTGCTTACATCACATGACCTTGGTTTGGGTATTACATATTGACTCCATAACTGTTTTCCTCTTGCTCATCACCCTCAGACTTTGGTCCTTTTAACAAAATCTAAGAAACCAATAATTTCCTCAATTTACGTAGTATTTTCTGTCACCTACTTAAATTTCAAATAAAAAACAACCTCAAAATGATCACTTCTCATGAAATACCTAAGGCTTAAGTCGATTCGCCAGAAAATAACTTGAAAGATCAGATTTCTACCTCTCAAACCTAGCTTCCAGCCTTTGATTTCTCTTCTTGAACATATGGTTTGAGCTTCTTACAACCTTTACTATCAACTGGTGGGCTTATAGGTTTGAAAATAAGGAAAATGAGTGCTTAAGTGTCCGTCTAAAATATACATACATACATTGATACAGACCTGATGAGGAGCCATGACATCAAGCAAAGCCTTTTGAGGAAATAATCTATTTGAATATAATAAATTTTGATCATGCTTTTTTAGGTAGGTATTGTAACTTTTTTATTGGGACTTAACCTCTTCAACCTCTTATCTTTTTGTGGCCTTCAACCAGTAATTCATTGTTGATTTGGGTTCAACTAACCTAAGCCGAAACATAGTAAACCAATCAGTTCCCAAGTCTTTTGATGCTCGGTAGCCTTATCCAAGTTGGCATCTTATTTAATAATCAAATCTTCCATGTATGATTAGGCTTTTTCCATGTGTCTTGGGTCCAAATGATAGTATGATACTTTTATTTAGTTTCAGGATTTAACTTCAAGTATGATAGATATAGGGATCAATAATATGTGCTTATTGCAGTCATTTTTGTTGTGCATTACGGATAGAAAACAAAATAAAATTAACATCATTTTGATCATAACACTTGGATTATTCCTCGACATGATAAAAAAGATGCGCTTGAGAATTGTTAAAAGATGTTCCTCTAATATTTTCAATGATAATAATATTAGGAAGTTGCTCGATTGTGTTACAGAGGAAGAATATTATATTTTTTAACTTACGTTTCTTTTCTCTTTGCAGTTTTGTCCATTCCTTTTTAACTTAAATCACACTTCTTTCATACCCATTTCTCAATCATTAAGACACCAAAACACGTGATATGAGTATGCGGTGGTAATTATTTTTATGATTATTTGGATATTTAGATTAATGCAAGGTTATTGAAACTTAGGTTTATGACTACTCAAAAACAGCAACCAAATTAAGTGTGAAGTACACTTGGGGCTCTGAAGAGCTTCACATTCACTTTGAATATTTAATATGGGATCATGAAAAGTTGTTATTTTATCAAATATTACTAAATATAAGTATGGAACTCATTTACTGCAGATTACTTGTTCAAGAGCCAAACCTACGACTTGGCGCTAAAGGCGCATCAGAGGTAATCCTAATATTTGCAACAACATTCTTCTATGAGTTTTTAAGTTGTTATGTGGAATTAACCATAGTTTAATACTAAGATATTCATTTTGCTATTGCTCTTTCAGGTGAAAGTGCATCCTTTTTTCAAAGAAATTGATTGGGAGAATCTAGCGCTGCAGAAGGTCTGTACAGAAAATGATTGTGAAGTTGCCACTTGTGTCTAATCTACATCAAACTATTTTTCATCTTCGCAATTTATTTGAGATTAAGCCCTGGCTCTGTTGATGGGAAGAAACTATTTCCCGCCCATTTCCTTTCACAAACTAGTTTGGCCTATGTGAATTCCCAAAATGTGTGGTAGAGTTGCCGATCCTCATCTTCACCAATAAAATTGGGTTAGAAAATTTTTGAGCAAGCTCTACAATTAAGACTTAACTTTTTTAATTTTCAAGAACAAGTCATATCACTTTTGGCATCTTTCTTACATAAGTCTTTTTTATGTCCCTTTGACTTGATGTCTTGCTAAGATGCTGTGAAATTCTTGAAATTTTATTCATATATTTTTAGCATAGTGTTTTACATTCTCTTCAATAGAAGTAGAGCATAAAAACAGTTTACTTAGTTGATATGTTTTTGTCAAAATTGAATCGTTATGGGGAGCAACAGGCCAAAAGCTCATGACTTAAATAGTCTAGGCAGTTTTGTGGGAGGGGTAGCTCGTTCTATTCCATAAATGAAGCCATGCATGGGTTATTGATTGTTTGATTATGAGGAGTACTTGTTTTGAAATAAAAACTTAACTCAGTTCTTGAATTCTGTGGATATCCTTTTTTTAAGGTCTTTGCCCCTTCGAGAATTACCTTTGTTTTGGATTCTCTTATTCAAAGGAACAGAAAATCTACCAACTCAAAATAATTGATAAAAGTTTTCCGTAAGTCTGGTTTCCTAACAATTCATCTTTCTTCAGTTTGTCCATACAAATGGGCGAGCTTGCATAAATTTTAATCTTCTTGTTTGTATTTTTATGGGTCTACTTCAAATTGAGGGTGTCCTCTTTCTATTTCTTCTTTTGCAATTTCCATTTTGCAAACCTGAGCTCCATTGTCTGCTCTCAAGGCTGTTCCTACTATCAAATCCACATCTTACTATTCTTCAAATTTTCTCGTGTAAAATTCTGTTTCCTGTGATTCTGTTCTGCAACTCAAATCTCAATGTCCAAATTTTATATAGTGCCTCTGATCCCACTGTCATTATAGTTGAGGGGCTAAATTAGAGCAACGTTATGATCTAGGACTAAAATGGACATACACAAATAGTTGGGGGACTATTTTGAAATTTAACCCTGGAAACAAAAAATTTCAAAATAGTCCTTTGATGAAAATATCAAATAAATAGCTAGATATGTAGATTGGAATATTTTCTTATTAGTATTTATACTCGACCAAACAACTTAACTAATACATAATGAACTATGTCAATTTTTATTAAAATCATAAATCCAATTATAAATAGCAATTAGGTTATATGTTTAAATCATTACTATCAAGCATATGATTAGTTAAACTTAATTAAAGCTCAATTATGACTTGAGCTTGATAAGAAAATCAATAAATAAGCTTGAACAATATTTTAAAACTATGGTCATGTTCAAACTCGACCCAAATTTAGTAAGAAAATAAATTAACAAGCTTATCGATTCATTTACAAATCTAGTTGCATGTCTAAATGCAGCAAATGTGCTATTATTGGTAATATCTTATGCTACAAATGAGTTAAAGCGCTGTATTTAGGCCATTTGCCTTCTTGCAAAAGCATTTGGCATGGAAATATAAGCAGCATTAACAATATCTAGCGTAGGTTTTTTCCTTTCATTGTATGAGGTGAGGTGTATCATTTTAATTAGTGCTTGTATTTTCATTTAATGAATCTGCTGTTACCATTTGCAGGCTGCTTTTATCCCACATCCTGAAGGTGCAGATGACACAAGTTACTTTATATCACGTCATCCACCTAGTACTTGCCAAATGGAAGACAATGAAAGCTCCGGTGACTTTACCTCAAATGCATATAATGCTAACTTAGACATGGACCCTGTGAGCAATGTTCGTATAAGTTAGTCTTTTTTAGTTATGTGAATTTATTGCAAAAGCTTGTCTTAAGATCCAGTTCTTGATTATTTTGAAACGCATTAAATCAATACACCTAGATTCTTTCATCTTGCATTGGAACAGATAGACAACGCTGCATCAAGGGTTAGAGTTGATAACATTGCCACCTAGCAATTTCCAGGATTTAGTATGCTATTTGACAATATTATTGTTTAAAATTAATTTCCCAAGGTAAGCTACGTGTCACAACCTATGCCGGAGGCTCGAATTAACGAGTTGGAAACAAACGATCGAACGGTTGATTAAAATTTTCAATTATTCACTATTTCCAATACATAGAAAGAGCTACTAAAATCTCAAAATTTGAAACAAAATAAAATATTATAAATATCTTTCTTCTGTTGCGCCACGTCAATGATATACATTCTCTTCTCTTTTTACTCATTTTAGTTAATTGAATTATACATGCGAATGTTTTTCAATGAAAAGGGTAAGTCATAAAATAACTTAGTGAGTATAGTAACACAAGGAATCATGAATAATATGCATGCTCAATTTAAATACTAAAGTAATTCTAGTTAATCATTCATTTCATGACCTTCAATGTGATGAAGATATTATATCTTTATATCCTTTCTCTTAAATAATACAACTATCACATGAGTCACCATCTAAATATAATATCAATGAAAATACTCCTTTTTCATTTACTTTTTCTTTTTCATAATCTTATTGGTACAATGCGTCCCCAGCCAATACTATAAGCAGTGTGCTCTATTAGTCAGCATGCACATTCAAGCATAACTATCTTAACCAATTCATTCATATATCATTCATTTACTTTCTATGAAAAATGTGAATAAAAAATCACTTATCGTCCATACCAAATACCAATAGGAGCAATCATTGAACACTGAGAAAATAAAAACATCTTTTAACTTGCAACAATAACTAAATAAATATGAAAAATATATTTCAATGAATTTAATTTAAGAGAAAGCAAAATCATTACTGTAAATAAAAGACATGATACTCACCTTGTTCATATGTTTTAAAGTTCCGCTCTTACTCTGTTGTCGATATGATTAACGCCAATAAAAATAATTCACAAACTCTCTTACTCGGTTTTAAATATTACTTAACATCTTAATTGCCTTATGTTATTGAATTTTTTAATTATATTTACTTATCTCTCTATATATTACTAAAATTAAAAGTAATATTCATAACCTAATAATTATTAAATAATCTTTTAAATAACTTCCAATCTTTTACTTATCCTTTTCTCAAGTATATAGAAGGTCAACAGACCATATCGCTTTGTGTAGATTTCAATGGTTTTGGTTTTCAGCACTTCTAAAAATGCTGAAAAATGGCTAATTAGATGCTAATTATGTTGTCTTTCTGAATGGGAATTATCGGTTAAGGGCCAAATCTCTCTCTCTATATATATATAATTCAAAACCAATTGAACTATTACATGCTGGTGTTCAAAGGGGCATTTCTTGTATATTGTTTTGCCTTGAATAGATGAGAGCTCATTGTCATGCTTTAAAATTCAATAAAAGTAAAAAAAAATAGTTAATTTATGTTTGTTGTCGTCTTTCCTTTTGCCTCTCTGTTCCTGTCCTTTATCTATTTATTTATTTATTTATTTTGTTATTTTCAATGCCGACCCCACATAGTGGAACAAAGGTTTGATGTTATTGTTGTTGTATTTTGTTATTTTCAGGTTGATCAAAAAAATGAAATGAAGTTTGACGCAAAAGTCAGACTAGATCTTGCCTCTCTCAATTTTTCGTTCAAGGTAATTTATTTGTTTAATGAAGTTAACCTTGTCATATACATTTTTTTTTCCTTACCATTCAGCTTGAAGATGACTTCTGAGATTTCCATGCAGAATCTTTCACAATTGGCGTCAATGAATTTTGATGTCCTAGTTCAAAATGGGAAAGCTTTCAAGGGCCCTTCCCAAGTCAAAGGTTCAACCTCTTAAACTCGCCAATATTTGTATCTTTTTAGTAAACACAAAACAAATATATTCCTTAAGCAACCATTACCTTATATATAAGTAAAATAACAATATATAACTAATATCAGTGAACCAAACCCTTTAATTATATTGCCATAATGTTGCCTAAACTTAATTAAGAAAATCCCGTGTGTTGATTTCTCTACTCCCATATTTTTTCCAGGGGAAATTATTAGGTCCGGACACCAAACCTAGAGATACGTCCGGACGTCAATAAAATGTCGACACATGGAGTGGACACGTGGATATTCAATATGTTTAATGTGTCCGCGGAACTTTAAGCCAAGCGCACCAAAAGCGAAACTAAAGCTCAGGTAAAGCGCAGTCAAAGCGAAACTAAAGCGCAAATAAAACGCACAAAAAAAGCACGACTAAAGTGCACTCAATGTGTCAAATTTTTAGTGGATGTCCGGACGTATCTCTACATCAGGTGTCCGAACCTAATACTTTTTCCTCTTCCAGATACTTATTTTTCTTATTCATGTGCTTAGATGAATGAAGATGGTGAAAAGGAGCTCGATATGCAAGGCCGGTCACATATTGCCCCTCTTCATTGATCATTTGCGCAATTCAAGGGTAGGCTTGAGAAAATTTTATAAGTTTGTAATTTGAAAAACATGATTAAGCAAATTTTATTACGTTTTGAAACATGATTTCTAACCTCAAGCAACCAAATTTTATTATGTTTTGAATATTTTGCAGTTCTCATCAATGAATTATGATCTCGTTCAATGGGTGAAAGCTTCCAAGTTTCCTTCCAAGGGAAGGGAAAGTGGCAGACCTCGTAGTGGCAGCATTTTTGTGAATAGCAATCATTCTTGTTCTCAACACAGCCAGTTTTTCCATGTCCACAAAGCCCATCACCAGAACATTTTCATTGTATTTGATTCTTGGGAGGAACTTACAGGTTCCCATAAACGATTGAGGGGGGACTTCTTTTTCTTCATATGAGTTCTCTGTATTTTCGATTCTCCTGTCTCCTCTCTGGAAGAGTGAAATCGCTCCCCAAAGAAATTTACACTAATAAATCAATGTAGGGTTCACTTCGCTACTGTCACAATCACATTTCCCTAATAAAATCACATCGCACTCTATCACTTTTATTGAACCATCTGAACAAAATTGGTTCTAAATTTATTTTTGTTTTTTCTTTTGTGTAATTTCGTTTGGGAAGTATAGCAGCACTTATGCTAGCATTGGCCTCAATTTTGGGTGAAATTATTAGCTGCTGACATCGAACGCCTTTCAAAGCCCAATGAAAATGCGTCACGTCATCCCTACTCGGTACCGTGGCTCGGTACTGAGCTCGGTATTGCTCTGCACCTTATTGGTTTCTGGACGATAAGCTGTGTCCGGTATCTGCACAGAATAATCTCTCCAAATTTGGTTCTCTTTTTTAACCCTCCAGGCCTGGAACTTTTATTCTATCCAGTGAACGTATGCAGAGGAAGGTTCAGTTTTAGGCAAAAAAGTGTCTGTACCGAGTTTTTCGCGCCTGTACCGAGTTTTTTGCCTAAAATCGAACCTTCCTCTGCGTATGTTCACTCGATAAAATAAAAGTTCCCAGGCCTGTATTATATCTGGGGACAAAATCATTTCTTCAGAACATATCTACAAGTCTTTCCAGAATGATGTGCCCAAAATTTAGCTCTAACTTGCTCTGTCAAATCATGAAAGTCTGGCTGCAGAACTGTGAGCTTTACTTGATATGACTTCAAAGTCAGATTTGATTAATGCTTTGTTTGTGATGGCTTTCATGTTGTTTTTTAAAGCAATTTTTTAGTAAAAATTTAAAATTTTTTAATATAAAGTAGCTTTAAGAAGCAGTAAGAAAGTTGTCTCAAACAAAATTTAAGTATGACTTTTATATGTTTTTTCAGATAAAAATGGCTAAATTGTATTCGAATTATTGGTGATTTACCCATCTTAGTAAAGAAGTAAATACATAAATAACATAAGAATTTACTAGATGTTATTTATAGATATTTTTGGGAAAACAATAATAATAAAAGTAAATATTTTATTTAAATAAAGTGAATTAGCAAGAACGAGTAACTCATATCGTTAATAGCTTAATGATCTTATAATTAGATGACCTTGGATTCTTTTCATCAAGTCACCGAAGTTGATTAAAAACATGTAGGATGTAGAAAGCATTTGGTCTTTCAATTAATATCTTGAGGCTTTTAAATACTCTTCAAGTACCTAATTTTGATTCATTTGAGCTCAAATCGGATCACTTATGACGTTGATGAGTTTGTTTCATCGAGACATTCAATTTGACTATATGCTGGCCAAAATTAGTATTTGGATGATCATTAATTTAATTGTGAAAGTTATAAATACAAATATTATCTTGAGATTCATGTTGATCAAGTGAATTTTATGAGGACGTATCAAGTGAAATAATTATAGCTAAAAAATTTATGGTAGTAGATAAGTAGAGCATTTTATATGTTAGCATATATAAAGATTCATCACGTATATAGATGCATCATAATTTTTAAGTAAAAACCCCAAAAAGGTAGCAATAATGGGGCTTGGCCATAGTTTTTTTTTTCCACTATTGGTCAAGCCCCATTGTTGTTACCTTTTTTGGAGTTTTCATTTAAAAATTATGATCCATCTATATGCGCGATGAATTTTTGTATATACTAAATTATTAAATACTATACTACCATAAGTTTTCAACTCTCGAAGCAGTTTTTAGCAATTTTTTTTTCAAAATAATGATAAAATAAAAATTATGATTGCAATATGAATAATAAAATTTATTTCAAATAAAATCTTAAAATCTAAGCCTTTCATGTTTGGATGGACAATATATTCACAATTTTAATTTATTTATCCAACCCGAATGATCTTAAATGGGGAAGATCCGGTCCAGGAGTGAAACGGCTTTAGGCGCCAGCTCTCAGAAAGCATGAATTTTTATTGCGTCCTCCCACCTGACGTAGAGATACGTCCTCCCACCGCCAAAAAACTCGGTTTTTGCTCGATATTGCTAGGTATTATTTGATAATAACGAGGAATATCATCATGTGAAGACCAATACCGAGTTATACCGAGCTGTACCGAGCAATACAAAAAAATACCGAGTTCTTTCTAGGAAAAACTAGGTTTTTTTTTTGTATTGCTCGGTATAGCTCGATATAACTCGGTATTGGTCTTCACATGATGATATTCCTCATTATTGTTTGGTATTGCTAATTTTTTAGCGCAAATTTAGCTCTAAAAGGACGTATCTCTACGTCAGGTGGGAGGATGCAATAAAAATTCGACAAGCACAAGTTAGCTTTTAGCTACGAGAATCTTCGGTCCACGTTAAAGTTTTATGCTTCTGCGGATCACCAGAAAGCTGTCTCCAGACTTCCCCTCTCCTTACTAAACTGCGCTGGTTCACTTCTGTGACAGTGAGGCTCTGCTGCGAATTGCCGAATAAAAAAATTAAATGGAGAAATCAGGTGAGTGGTGAAGTTATGCGCAGTTATTTGATATAGTGAATCATTGAAATTTCTCTCAGAAGCTGTGCGATTTAGCTGTTTCTTTTCATCTCTGTTTGGCAATCAAACTCTAGGGTTTTGCTGCTCGGTTCATGTTGTGGAATTGGTTAAAAATTGCTGATTGGTTTCGAAGTTCAGTTTTAATTTTTATTGCAGTTCCCGATGTATTGCTATTGTGAATGTTCTACTTTTTCCGCTTTGTGTTCTGTGGATCCCGTTTTGATTGCTATGTTGTGTGGTTTTTTATGATTCTTGATAAGTATGGCATTCATTTGTATATTTTATAATATTGAGTTTTTGATGAAGTTTGATCTTTATCGTCCAGGTAGAGTTGGGGAGTAATTGTGTCAGTATATTTTCTTAGTTAATTCAGGGCACGGTTTCAAGTGTAAAAGATGATGGGAAACGGATTTAAGTAATTGCTATTCTCTTCTATTGCATGTTTTGAGAGTATCGACAATAAGGTTATATTTTGATGTGCTACAATTTGGATGGCGAACACTAAGGGATCATAAAGAACTAGGCTGGATGTAGTATAAATGCAATTTTAAGATTGATGTGCCGTGAAAAGCTTGGGAAAGTGTTGTATGAGGTGAGTATGTTTGAGGAACTGTGTAAATAGCACCTGCAGAAGACGAGGCCGTTGAAATTGAATAGAGATTTTTTTACAGCATAATGCGTATGTCAAAACCATGTTTTGTTGTAGCAGATAGAGTTGATGCGAAAAGGATAGGAAGAGAAAGTGCCGTGTGAATGCTAACATGCTGTCAAAAGCTTTTCATAAGGATTCTATCAAAATATGATTAGCAGCAATTCATGCTACTCTTTGGTGGCAGGCAACACTCCTATATAATTTAAATATGTTTAAAGTTCTATAACTCTTCTATTTCTCTCTTTGTACCAATGTTGTTCAAGCACACAGAATTCTTCAACTTTTAGCGATTATGGAAAACTATGTACTTGTTTCTAGCTATTTTGCTGTATAAATTTTGTTTTCTTTAGCAGTGTTCTACATTTTTCTTAAGGTTTTCAGTTTTGTTGCTTATCAAATTTTACATGCTAGAATTGTCTTGAATTTCCTTTTCTTTTACCTTTTTTAGACCATTTGCAAGATTTTATTTTTAGTGGTTTCACATCAAATATATGCTATTACCAATTGTTTTAGTGATTGTAGCATCATAAGTTAATATCTATTACTTTCATGCATATTACAATGTCTTGCAGTTGGTTCATCAACATCATCACTAGCATTATCTCCCACTATTTGGGTTTGGCTTTATGAACTTTTGTCTACTTGGTCATGTTGACTGTTGCTTGTGATGTTAAACCATTTCTTCACAAAATATTTTGAACAAAATTTATCCATTTTACCGTAGTTCTAGTATATGTATTTCTATCATTCATTATATATGTCCAAATTATTTAAGTCTTTTTTCAACTACCTCGTATTCATAGATGTGACTATAGCTCTTCTACTAACATAATCATTTCTTAATCTATGCTCTGAAATTTTTCACTCTCCCATCTTAACATTCTTATTTCTTTCATGTTCAACTTATCTATCAACAACTTTTTTAACACCAAATTCTCGAATCCATATGACATTGTCAGGCTATTTGCGGTTTAATTATTACTATTATTATGTGCAGGAAGGTGAGGACAATTTTAGAAAAAATCACCTTTAAGGCTCCATGATATTCTTTCATTGCAATGGTATTTTTAAGGTACTCCATTTTAACCAACTAGCCTTAATTCTAAAAATTATATTCTTATTTATTTCATAAAGTAGGATTTTTATAGTTAAGAATACGCATGTCTGTACAAAAGGGAAAAGCTAGCATTGTTGATTGTTGGAATATACGTTAGGTGGGTTTTATGAAATTTAAAATTAAAATTGTAGCATGCTTTTATCAAAATTTTGTCTTAATACATGACAATTTAGGGTTAGAGTTTTTTTATACAAGTGGAATGATGTATCTAGATTGCATAAAAGACTTAAAATTCACATATCACAATCCTTTAAATACACAAAAAATTGATTTCTTTAAATGAAAATCAAATCATACGAGAATTAGAATTGAAATGATAATGCAATGAATGAATAAACCCAAAGAAATTCAAAACACACAAAATAAGTGAGAAATTACAATTTATTCACTATAATTAGTATTCTAGCTATAAAATTGGAATAAAATATGGATTTTTAACAAGCCGATAATAAAATATGTAGAAAAAAAATTCCTTCAACGAAAGAATTCACAAAAGACATTTGTCTCATGTCGGTATAAGGAAATGTTTTATCTCATAATTATGTAGCCATCTGATATTGTACTTGATTGAATTTCACATCTAAATTCATGCACGCAGTAGAAAAAAAAAATGTAAATCCCCTTTATATTTTTGCATACAACCCATAACAGGTAGGAGTAAGGCATGGCACAGTAGAGGACCATTACAACTGCAAGCATCAATAACAATAGCAAAGGCCATATAAGGCACAGGAGAAGAAAAGAAATCATAACCTCAATAGGAAAAGAAGGGGGCAACTATGGTCGACAGAGCAGTGTTGTAATCTTGAAGAACAGTGAGAATGGCGGTTACAGCCCTGCAGCAATTTGTTGGTCTAGGAAAAATTTGACTTTAATAAATTGAGCTTACAAAATTCATGAAACAAATCTTGACATAAATGTTATGCTTCCTGCAACGCAAGTCATGTGTCATCATTAATATGGTGTCATGGCAATGAATAAGATATCCATAGAATCTACCATCAACAATCAAGATAATCATTAATCTCATCATCTAAGATAGATTAAAGAGGCAGGTGTATAGATTGTCTAGTAGAGCGTTAAATGCAAATTTGCTAGGAGATGGAAAGAGAGAAGAATTTATAAAATTGATTTTGATTTCGTGAAATAATGTCAAATCGTATGTATTGAAAATTGGATTAATATCATTTTTTTCTTTTGAATTTTCAATTTGTAGGTGTTAGTTTCAATATGCAAAGTGGAAATTAAAGTAGTGTTTTTACTAGCTAGAGACAAATTTATATGCATACAATAGTTATTAAAATTTACCAAATTTAAACCACATCAAATAATACATTTTTAACAAATATAATGGTACATTAATGATAGTAATTTTTGGCCATTTGAAAGCAAAAAAATCAAGGATAAAAATGATATAAATAATAAAGTGATGTAAAAATACTTAAAAATAGGAAATATACTCGTGAGAATGATTGACCAAATAGGATGGAAAGGCTAAGGCAATTGGAAAAAAGAGAGTGTGAAGATGAAGCGTTGAGAAGCATTCTCAAGAAGAATGTTGGAGCATGAAGTTACTAGTGTCAACTGCCAACAATAAGAATTAATGAAAAGTGAATAAGAGCTAGTGGGGGAGTAAGTGCGAAGAAAAGAACCACTAAGACTAGACCAACTCTTGTGGGAGTGAATGAAAAACCAACTCAATGAGTTAGAGAAATAGTGGGGAGAAGCAAATGATCATACATAGTTATTATGGTACTAAATAGAACCATAATATAAGGATTTCACTTCGAGAGGGAGCCAAGCTCACAATGCTATGGCATGACGCAGTGAACAATATGACAAATGTGCTTTGTTGCGAGCTTGCACTTCACAGGCATGCTATACATATGCTCATTGCATCGCTTCACTTTGCTCCTAAGCTGTTCTTTTAACTACACTGAAGCAAGTATCATGCATATAATCTAGTCACACAAACCTCTTCAAAAAACACCAGTCCAAATGACTTAAAAATCAACTGTGATGAATTATTCTTTTTTAGGATTAACATGATGGATGAAATTTTTTAAATTTATTTTAAAACATTAGATATTAAAATTTCATAAAATATCACCCTATGGTTGTTTTATGAATTGGTATGCAAGTTGACTAACATCCAACCAAAAAGTCAATACCAATTTGTCCATTTGAAGTACATATGACTTTCATTGCTAAGTCATCAAGTGTTACCTTCCATTTTGCTTATTTGATGCATTAAGTGCAATATAAATAATTGATTCAATTTCAAAATCAGGCGTAGCCTCGATTTCCATAATGAATTTTGGTTCATATTTGATTTCATTCTCATTTTCCTTTTCATATTCAAACTTTGGATCTTGATTAAACATATATTTAGGTTCATTCTAATACACACGTGGTGGGATAACGGATTGATATTGTTGTAGTAATATGTTCTAATGTAGATGTATATTAAGATTCAAAGATATTAAATGTTGATTTGTATTTAAACTGCAAATAAATTTCTATAGTTAATATATCTTCAAAAGAATATTAATGAACTACAATCTCGTTAATAAACTCATTCACTATGCATGATTCTTGCATTGGTGTATTTTCAATAAACTTTAAATGAGATATTTCTAAGTTTTTCCTATGAATAATCATAGATGTAAGTCTTAATAGGAGAATAGTTGTAACATTTCTCAATTTTTGAAGTTATGCATAAAGTTTCATTTAATACTTTTGGTGAATTGTAGCTTAATTCATCCATAAATTGGCGCTTAAAATCTTTAGTAAAACATATAATAATAACTATATAATCTAAAGACAAATAATGCTTATCAGCCTTAGCTACAAGTTTTGTAAGCCTCATATGATACTTAGATACATAATATTTACATTCTATTTATCTTGTTTACAATTGTTAAATTAATCATGCTTTGATCCTTATATTCACCAAATGATAAGGATTACTCTTTAAGTCTATGTTTTATATCAACTCATGATGACTAAGCAAAAACACTTTGACATAATGATTGAGCATGCTCCACTCTTTTTAATTTAACATATTCAACTTAGTAGGAATCAATTAAATTGAATTAAAAAAGCTTCTAAATTATCAATCCAAATTGAAAATCTTCCAAGATTATACCTTGATCAAATTCAAGAATATATCTTATCATTTAATAGATCCAT